TCTGACAGCAAGTAAAAGAGGACTACTCAGAGCATTTGCAATTTATAAAATGTGCAGATGATTCATATTAACCTGCATAGCTCAGCTTTGTAGCGCAGTTCAGAAGATCCACCTTTTCCGTCAGAAAGGCAGTGTAGCCCACAGCTTTCTTTTTACATCTTGATTCTCTGGTATTCATCCCGCAAAAGATTCTTTAAAATTTTAGTAGACAGATTTGAAAAAGTCCCTCTGGATCATCAGCAGGGATCTGGGTTTTCTGTTTCCCCATGGAAAAACAGAGAAAACCACAGATTCCCTGTTTTTAGCAGAGAAATCCACAGATTCTCCGCTTTGGCAAAGAGCTCTTCATAGTTTCATAGTTTCATAGTTTTAGGGTCGGAAGGGACCTAATAGATCTTCTAGCCTGACCCCCCGCCAGGGCGGGAGAACAACAAAAAACCCTAAAAACAAAAACGGGACTCAAATGAGTCCAGCCAGGTAGGCATCCAGCCTCTTCTTAAAGACCCCCAGGGTAGGGGCCAGCACCACCTCCCTTGGAAGTTGGTTCCAGCTCCTAGCCGCCCTAACCGTGAAGTAATTTTTTCGGATGTCCAATCTGTACCTCCTCTCCATCAACTTGTGCCCATTACTCCTTGTTATGCCAGCAGGGGCTAGGGGAAACAGCGTCTCCCCCAAACCCTTCTGGTTCCCCCTAGTGAGTTTATAGACGGTCACCAGGTCCCCCCTCAGCCTTCTCTTGTGGAGGCTGAATAGGTTCAGGTCCCGCAGTCTCTCACTGTAGGGTCTGCCCTGTTGTCCCCGGATCATGCGGGTGGCCCTCCTCTGGACCCTCTCCATGTTGTCCACATCCCTCCTGAAATGGGGCGCACAGAACTGGACACAATACTCCAGCTGCGGCCTGACCAGCGTCGCATAGAGGGGGAGGATCACCTCCCTGGCTCTACTCGAGATGCACCTGTGGATGCACGACAAGGTCCGGTTAGCCCTGCCAACCATGACCTCGCATTGTCGGCCCATGTTCATCTTGGAGTCAATAATGACACCAAGATCCCTTTCCGCCTCCGTGCTCTCAAGTAGGGAGTTCCCCATCGTATAAGTGTGCTGCTGGTTCCTACTACCCAAGTGCAGCACCCTGCACTTGTCCGTATTGAAACACATCCTGTTCCTGTTTGCCCACCCCTGTAACCTATCCAGATCCTTCTGCAATCTCTCTCTCCCTGCTAGCGTGCTCACCTCCCCCCAAATTTTGGTGTCATCAGCGAATTTAAACAGGTTGCTTTCCACCCCAACATCAAGATCGCTGATGAAGAAATTGAACAGCGCAGGCCCCAGGACCGAGCCCTGGGGGACTCCACTACCCACCTCCCCCCAAGTCGAGTATGATCCATCCACCACCACCCTCTGAGTGCGACCCTTCAGCCAATCTGCAATCCATCTGACCGTGTAGGCATCTATGCCACAGTCGCCTAGTTTATTAATTAGGATGGGGTGAGAGACGGTGTCAAAGGCCTTGCTGAAGTCCAGAAAGACTACATCCACCGCGACACCTGCGTCCATGGCCTTTGTGACCTGATCATAAAAGGCAATCAGGTTGGTCTGACATGATCTCCCCCTAATAAATCCATGCTGATTGCCCCTGAGCATCATTTCTGATGCCGGCCCATCACAAATGTGCTCCTTGATGATCTTCTCAAAGAGCTTCCCCAGGATTGAGGTAAGACTGACGGGCCTATAATTGCCCGGGTCCTCCCTTTTCCCTTTTTTGAAGATGGGGACCACATTAGCTACCTTCCAATCGTCTGGCACCTGGCCCAAGCACCACGATCGCTCGTAGAGCCGTGCCAGGGGCCCTGCAATAACCCCAGCCAGCTCCCTCAGCACCCTGGGGTGGAGAGCATCCGGACCCGCTGACTTGAACGCGTCCAGCCCCTCCAGAAGCTCTCTAACCCGGTCCTCCCCAACCTGAGGTCTGAAGGCGATCCCCTCGCGTCCGGCTTCTATCACAGCAGGGAAGTCCCGGTCCCTGCACAAGAAAACGGAGGTGAAGAATTGGTTAAAGAGGTCCGCTTTATCCTCTGACGCAACCACCAGATTGCCCCGCATATCCTGCAGGGGCCCCACATTACCCGGCGCCTTCTTCATCCTCCCAATATATTTGAAAAAGGACTTTTTGTTATCCTTAATCCTGGACGCTAATCCGAGCTCTATCTCCGCCTTGGCCTTCCTAACAGCCCGCCTGCAGGCCCGAGCAGAGGAGGTATACTCCTCTTTGGAGATTACACCCCCCTTCCACCGGGCGTACGCCACCCTTTTGGCAAGCAGGCATTCCCGGACACCCTTGGTGAGCCAGGGGGGCTTTTGGACACTCCTGCCCGCCTTGCTTCTTGTCGGGATGGACACCCCTTGGGCCCCGAGTATCGTTTCCTTAAGGAACGACCACTCCTCTTGGACGCTGAGTTCCTCTGCCCTCAAGGACCCCAGTTCCTCTCCCACTAATCTCCTCATCTCACTGAAGTTGGCCCTCCTGAAGTCTAGGGCCACCACCTTGCTGCGGGCCCTTGACACTCTACGCTGGATGGTGAATTCCAGCACGCGATGATCACTATTGCCCAGGTGGTCAAGAACCTGGAGGCCTCTTACCAGGTCGTCGCCTGCGGCCAGGACCAGGTCCAGCAGAGCATCTCCTCTGGTGGGACTGTGCACCTCCTGAATCAAGTGGAGGTCCTGCAACTCGGCCAAGAACCTCCTGGAGCGGTCCGTCCCGGCTGACTGCTCCTCCCAGCAGATGTCCGGGTAATTAAAATCGCCCATGACAACTACATCCCTTGCTTTTAGTGTCTCCGCAAGCTGGCCTGAAAATTCCCTGTCCAGCTCCTCCTCCTGATTGGGGGGTCTGTAATAGACCCCCACCGTCAAATCCCTCTCGCCTTGCCCCCCCTGGATCTTGACCCAGAGCACTTCAGCTCGCCCTTCCCCTGACCCCATACTGCTGGCAGAGGATGTGTAGTGCTCCTTGACATAAAGTCCCACCCCCCCCCCTGATACCCACAGGCATGCCAGAATAAGGAACATGGCTTTAAGTGAAGAGGTAATGTACAGGAAGAAAAAGTAACTATAGTATACTACATACAAGTAACTTTTTATATGTGGTTACATGTAGTTACCTGAAAGTCTGACCAAACTTATAGAAGTGATGCCACCAAATTTAATATTCACTTGTGCAAATACCTACAATGCAAATATCCAAATGACAAAACCAGCATGCACATGCTGATTAGGTTCTCAGAGCATATACTTGAGTTTATACCATTCTAGGCCCTTGGTGCTACTCAGGGAGAGCTTTAATGATACCTGTAGCAGTGCTAAGCACACACGGTAACAGAGAAGAGGCATAAACTTAGCTTGCTAGGCATCTTTTCACTAATCACTAGTTTAGGTTGATTACAAGTCTGCGCGAGATACACAGTGAGTCAACAGCCACTATAGCTCCATTCTTATACTAGTTTTGGGTTACAGAAGGACTTTACCAAGTGTCAGGGCCATGGCTTGGGCTCACATGCGGTGCTGCCGCTTACCTGTAGGCCCGTGATGGCGGTGACTGTTGCTGAATACAAAACTTCCCACTGCCACCATGGAGCTGTGCTCGGAGCCGTGTGACCAGCAGCAGCGGCCCAGGGTGGTGGCGGGGATGGGAATGGCTGCGTACTGCCCAGCCAGCACCGTGCTGCACTGCGCCGCCGGCACCG